TAACTATGGGAAAATGAACAGCCATACATGTTTCTGATCAGTTGTGCTTGGTAAAGTTATACTGGCAGAATAAGCTGTTTATTTCTCACATTTTGTAGCTAAATGAAGAAAAGTCACCCGGTTACTGCTGTAATTTGGAATATGCAGCCAGAAAGCAGAACAGCTCTGATCTTCGTTTATGCGGTGCCCTGGCTTGCTGCTGTGGCAGGCAACAGGGGACAAGGCACCCACCTGAACACTGGCCTTGGCTTTCCGCACTGGAAAAGGGTCAGCCTGGCCCACTGCAGCATCCATGCAAACACTGATCAATACAGGCAAGGATGCTGGGATTTTTCCTTCAGCAGCATGCACTGGCCTGTCTCCAGATCCTTGGTAATCTCCATGTCCAGCGCCTGATTTCTGCTTATCCTAAATTTGCTCAAATTCTGGGTGTAATCCTTTGTTGGGGTGGTGAAGCCTAATTCTATTTGTTGAACTACTTTTCCATAATTGCATTTGCCTACAGCTAGCTCTCTAATCTGCCTTTCCTCAAATCTGGCACAATCATGCTGGAATCCATTTACGGCCACATATGCAGGGACGGGGCTCAAGGATGCAGCCGGGCACACACACACGTGTGTGTTTGTGTGTGCGTGCGTGTGTGCACGCATGCCCATGGGTGAAAGCAGAGCACTTTTAGCATGGCTAGTCCCGGGCACCAGCTGCCTCCAGTGCTTGCAAGGCTAAGCCCTGCCTCTGCCTGCCAGTGGCTCCGATCCCAAGCGATCCTGTGGAGCTGCTGTGTGCCAGAGTTGTCCGTTCTGCTTCAAAAGAAGCTGAACAAATGGCTTTCTCCGCCATTTGTTCACACCTACCTCCCCGGGTGAGGTTAACCAACAGGATAAGAGGTAAAGCAAGGCCAAGGCAATGGTTGTGACTCAGGCTGTCCTGCTCCATCACAGCAGAGTGACCATCGCACCAGCGGGACCCACCTGCAGGAGCTTGCTGCACCTCCAGGCAAAGCTACAGCCATTTTGCTTATCACTTTCAGCGGGGAGGTCTCATAGCCGCAAGGTCCAGCTGTGGCTTGGGAATCTCTGTCCCTTGCCCTGCCCGCGTGTCCGATAGCCTTCTGCATCTGCCCCGCACGCCCCAGGGATGCTCTCCTGCAGGAGCCAGGTGGGCTTTCCAGGCTGGTGGGCATCCCACTCCCAGTTTAGCAGTGCCACAGGCAGAGAAGCCAGCCCAGGAAAGCTCCCCAGTTGTTGTTTTTTTTCTCCTGGGAGGTCTCTCGTCTATTCCTGGGGCAACTGCAAAGATATTTTGCACAAGAGCACACGGCCCTTGAGTGTGCAGTTTCCCTTGGATTACAATGATGTTGAGCAAAGATCACTGCAGAGCTCTGCTGGTCCCCCACTCTGTGCCTCCCACTGTGACTGTTTCTTCCACCCTGAAGAGATCTGCCCCTGCTCTTCCTCTCTATCTGCAGCCCCATCAGCCCAAGAGCAAACACACCAGAATGCTTGATATGAACTTGCTTGCAAGAACAATATCCTGCAGGGATAGGGCTTTGGCTAGGTGCTAGTGTATAATGTTTGGCTTCACAGCTATTTTTCGTTGGTTGTTTTGGTTTTTTTAAAAAAAAAAAAAAGAAAATGAGGGACTAGATGTCAGGGGAGGAGGGGATCTCAGCAGAAATTTTGATAGGAGCATTACAACAAGCAGCCTGCCAACACCAAAAAAATTGGATCACAAACTTCGTTTAGGGGAAATTAAAAACCCCACAGAAAAAAAGATCCAGCATTTTCAGAAATAAATGTTTCCTGTTGTGAATTTGAAGTGCTTCCTTAAATTGCATTTTTAACTGCGTCAGAAAACAAAGTCAGAATCAAAGTGAAGTAAGCCGATGATGCTGTGAAGTTTTCAAGCAGAGTTTCTCTAAATGGGGAATTCAGACATTTTCATATTCTAATTCAGGAACAGACAAATTTTGGATGCCTGCAATTCTCTGGGGGCTCAACTCTTCTGGAAGGATGAGAGACACAAAGTGCAGAGTGAGCGGCTGCTGTAAGGAACTGGTGGTTAAGTAAGTGCCCTGTTTCAAAGGGGTTTGGGGCTGTCAGAGATTTTTCTAGCTCACAGGCATCCAAACTGTGAAATTACCATCATAACAGAGCAAAGCATGGCTGTGAGAGGCTGAAGGCTTTGAGGGCTGGGGAAAGAGCCCGTAGTCCTGCTTTGCGGAGACTCTTTCTGGCTGTCAGAAGGGAGCAGCTCACCTGCACAGCCTGGCTCTCCCATATCACCTGAGCAAGTATGGAGGCAAAAAGGATGGATAAGGTTCTCGGCAGGCATGCTCTCCACCCCACATGGCTGCCATGAGACATATTGCGTTGCTTCACGCTTACAACATGCTACAGCTATGCGTTACCCCCTTTTTCATCAAAGGGAACTGAACTACGCACCCATCCATTGCAAAAACTCTTTCTCCTTCCTCTCTCCTGATTTGGTTGCTAATGCAATCCAAATAGTAAATAATATTTTAAGTAGCTTTCACTTGATGAAGAAGCTCTAACAACCTTTGCTCCAAAACATGCTGGAGTGTTTTCGAACAGCATAATGAAAGCTCTCTGAAGAACAGAGCAGTGGAAGAGCTGGTATTACAAATGCCCTGAGAGTCAGTTAGCTTAACTCCTTTATTGATCTTCCCTGAAAACGAAGCTCTATAGCAGAGTGGTTAAGGGAAATAGATAATGAACACGAGAGACTTCTTTTAACATGTGAAAACTGAGATTACAGTTTTAGGGAAGACATCTCAAAAGCAGCACAGTGCCAAACTCCCCAGAGTTTCCCAGCAGATTAGTCAACAGGCATTAGTTACCATACACTAAACCCGCTTCTTTTGACACCTAACCAGCTCCCTCTTGTCTCTGCAGGAAGGAGCACATCAGGCAGCAAGTAAAGCGGGTTTGAGGAGGTACGTGTGGGTGCCAGACAGGGCTGTCAGGGCTGGACTTTGGCTCTGGGCAGTGCTTGGGAGTTTTGGTCCTTTGGCAAGGCAGACCAGTTCGCATCACACGTTCACATTAACTTTGGTCTATGCTGGACCAGGACTAGTTTCCTATCTGGCATCCGTTTCCAAATCAAAACCTTAAAATTCTTAAGAAAATTGTTTGTCGTGCTCTGCCAAGATACCAAACCGTGCCAGTCCTAGGTGGGAGCTGTGTGCCGCTGCCCAGGGTAAAGAGGCAAGGACAGACCCCAGCCCGTACACTTTCCTGCTGCTGCTCGTCCTCTGCCTCTGCATCCCCAAGGCTTTGCTGAGGGAAGCGGTGGCATCTCTTTGCTCCAGAGAAGCTAGGAGGAGTAATGGGAAACAGTTGGTTTGAATCAAATGGGTACTGACTCAGACCCGTCCCTACCATCAAGCCGAGCCTTTCGTTAGGCATATTGCGCTCTTCTGGCCTCCAGCCAGGACTGGAACAGCATTTCTGAAACATCATGAACACCTGCAGTGAGATTCCTAATGCGGGGCTGTGTGAAGCCATGTGGGTGATTTGGATAAGGACGCAGGATTTTGGCTGCTTGTTTGACTCCACTCAGCAAACCTGGGAAAACTGGCTGATGGGTCATCTCTGCAAGCAAGCTGGCCTCCCCTCTCCATCACAGAAGATCACAGGGAGCCCGTTCTCCCACCTCCTCCGTGCTGCCCCTTTCTAAACCCAGGAAGCAAACAGCAGGATTTGCAGGCTGTCGGCATTACTTACGTGGTTTCAAGCACAGCTTAAAGGTGCGCTTTTTTTTTTTTCTTATGGGGGCTTTACCTTTTCTATTATGATGATCTTCATTCCCAACAGCCATGGCCTGAGCTAACAGTGGCAGGAAAAGACACTGCATCTCTTTTTGAATTGCACAGCTGCAGCTCTGCATTTTTGAAGGTTTAGTATCAAGGGAATGGGAAATGTCAATATTACCATATAGTTTTCCTTGGGTAATATCGAAATCTTCCGGCTGCCAGGTGAATTTAAAGCCAAAAAAAGAAATCAAATTTAATCACAATTTTGTGATCTTTTTTGCCTCTCACAGGAAAAGATTCCCTGGCTACACTAAAAAGATATTAGATGTTTCAAGGACATTGATTTGTTAGAGAAAAACTTGCATTACTTGATCTGAACATCTCCCTGAGCAAGGGAGGGGGAGGTGTCCCAAGTTCAGGAGCCAGGATCTGCTCAAAATACATCAATTTTAAGTTTCTACTTCAGACCAGTTTCTGTTTCGGTTGCATCCTTTTGCTCTGGTGTGAGGCAAACAAGAAACTGCTCTGGCTTTCCGGTGGCCTTCAGACAAGCTAATGAGTACCCTTGGGAAATGTAGCTCCTAAAATTACCTCCAAGCCACCCCAAGTCCTATGGGTGGTGACCCAGCGTAGAGCAGCACTTGCCTTGGGGTGCTGGAGCCCCTCCAGAGGGACCATCACCCATCGTTCCCACCACAGCTTCTCCTTTGCAACTGGTTTAGAGCCCTTGGGAACCAGCCCCAGGAAAGGGCTTTCCATTCCCTGTTCCCATCTAAAGGGGAGGGAGGGTAGAGGAATGAGGGGGGTTGAAACAGGGAAGGGAGAGAAGATGCTTGCCAAGGGAACAGCCAGAAGAAATTGCAAGGAGGTGTGAGATTTAGAGGTCCAAAGACCCCAGTCATTAGCGAGAGGAATCCAGCAGGTCACTGCTCGGCAGAGGCAGGGCTATGAGTCTGCAGCGTGGAGGACGAGGGAATGGAAAGGACTGGAGAGGACATTGATTTTCTTAGAGGAAACAGTGAGCAAGAATGACCTCAATGGAAAAATATTTTCTCTCTCTCTCTCTCGTTCTGTCTCACAGACAAATATAGCCCTACACGTTATGCAAAGGCAGTGTTCAACCATGCTTGGAATGAGCAACTTGGGAGGCAAATTGCTACCACTTGTCCTCACCCTTGTTTTTTCGGCTTTTATTTCCTCTTTTCCCTTTGTCTTCTCCCTCCAGCTCGGCCTGTCCCCGACAGCTGCCACAAAGCCACCTCAGAGCAAGCCCCTGCCTTGAGAGGAGAGAGGGGTCCTCGGGGGGCAGCTGCCAGCAACCGCAATGAGAACAGCCGCTGCTCTTCACAAAATGACCTGAGAGGAAAGGTGGATTGAACCGGGGTTGTGCAGGTTAAAGAAGAGGGGAGAAATGTTTGGGTTGAATATTAGAAAAGTCTTTCCAGCAGTAAGGAGAAGCTGGGCTAGGCCGCCCGGAGATCTCACCGACACCTATCCTGGGGCATGTTTAGGAACCAGCTCAGCAATATCTGTCCAGAAAGGCACGGTCCCAGGCAATCATTCTCCCTGACAGACCCATTGCTCAGCAGCAGACCAGATGATTTCCTTGCTGCCCTATTTCTGAGAAATGTCTTTCTTTCACTATGAACATTACAGCACATTTTTGCTTGGAGTCAAAAGGTTGCCAAGTGCCTTTAGCTGTTTTGATTGTCTCCCGTTTCCCCAGCCCCAGCTGCGTTTTCCTGGAGGCTGCAGCTCCTGTGGAACCTGCTTTGCTTTCAGTGGCTTCACGGCTGCTTGTCCTCGGTTTGCTCCTCCGCAGGAGCCAGCTCGGAGGGGCTGGAGGGTCCCTGTGACCCGTCCTGCCTCACGGCTGGTGCCAACCCCAGCTCGCACCGACGTGCCATGGCGAGAGCAGCAGAGAAAACACCCATTTCTGGTTGTGAAAACAACATTTCTGAGCCTCCCACCCTGTGGTTACCCCTGCTTGTGTTTTCACTTGCCGTGCTGAAAATTTCAGCCTTCTGGTGAAACGTGGAATTGCTCCGAAAAAAATCCAAATGCAGAGGCGAGCAGCTGCATGCCCATGGCTGCTCCAGGGGAAGGAGAAGGAAGACCCAGGCTTGGGTGCAAAGAAGAAGTCCTGCCTTGCATTGCCAGCAGTAACCAAAACCTTCCCTCTCCTCCTGCCTTAGGACTGATAGAAACAGCTCCCGAGCCTTGGAGCCAGCTCTGCAACCAGACCTGGGACTGAGCGAGACAGGGCAGTGCTCTTGCTCACCCACCACCGTTGGCCCAGCCCAGAGATGGGGTTTGCAGCCCAGGGCCTCTCAGGACAGGGTGGCAGGGCTGGGAAGATCCAGAAATAAATTACCTGCAGAAGAAACCATTGGGCTGGTCTTTTTCACCCAAGGTGGCTGCATCCATGTTTTACATTTCTGTATCACTTGCCTTGGCCAGGAGGCCACAGCTCCTGCCCATGCTTGTTTCTGGCAGCTCCCCTCTGGTACTCACCACACCTCCCGCGGCAATTTGGGTCTGCTCCCTGGCACTCCCGTGGGCTGGGAGCATCACCCTGTCCTTGGGCTGCACAGACACCCAACACCTACTGTGCCAGGGGCATCACCTGGCTCGTCCTCTTACTCAGCAAGTAATGGTAGCACTAGCACTAGCACCAGCAATAGCAATGTTTCCCTTCCAAACGCCAGCATAATCCCCATGTTGTATTTATGAGAAAAAAAAATTAAAAATGGAGAAATCAAATGTCTTCCTCAAACCCAAACTGTGAGATAGCTGGCAACTGGCACGGATATCCTCATTCCTAGCCCGCAGTTCAACCACTATGTAAAGGAGTCAGACAACATCTGCAGTGCTGTCTCTAGGATATGTTGCCCCCCATCAAGAGGAAAATGGGAAGAAGCAGAGCCAAAGGAGTCATCCCTGTGGGCAATGCTGTGTCCAACGTGGACGGTGAGGGGTAATAGTCTGGGCAATGCAGAGGTAAGAACAGCCTCATCTGCCACAGTCAAGGTTGCTGCCTGCTGTTACCCCAGGCAGCATTTACCTGGGAATGTTAACCATTTCCCTCTTTTCTTGGATGACCGTGACACTGAGAGCATGGAAGAGGCCTCTCCTCCTCAAAGCTAGTTGTTTCTGATTTCCAGGAAATCAAACAAATGGGACGAAACTAAAGCAAACAGATCAATCTGTAAACAGAGAGACTTTTCTCAGTCTTTCATAAGCAAAAAAATAAAAGCAACAATTACCTTCCCTAGAAAATAATGGCAAATGTCATCTGCCAGGACTGTTATTTCTACTGCCAGTGGGGAGGCAGACTGGTGCTGCTCCCAGATTTTCTGTGAATGGGCTGGGAAGCAAAGCAATTAGGCAGAAAAGAATAAACCATTCATCCAAACATGACAGCCAGCAGAAGAGCGGTTGTAAACAAGTCAAGCTTTCTTACCTCCTTGCCTTGCAAGTGCTTAGCAGTTTTGTGAGAGGTGGCAAAGCTGTGAGTGGTGGGATGTGTGGTACGCACCCAGCTTCCCCACTCACCAGGGCAGACCCCCCAGGGCAGGTTTTGTGCCCGTTAAGAGGTGCGAGGATGAGGTGGTATTCGCCCACCTAAGGAGTCATTTGTGCTTGTAAAATATGAAAAGTTAAAATAAAAGTACTATAATTCCCCAAGCTTCATACAGAGTTTTTGTACTGTAGTCTGCAAGAAGAGTCGGTCTGATACTGGTGGCTGGGGTTAAGCCAGTTTGTAAACCACCATAGGTTTCCAGTCCTTGCTGGTGCAATGCCCACGCTACCTTAGCACCGTTAAGACAGAGGCTACGCTTTTCCTCGCGATGACTCTGGGATTGGTAAAATCCACCTTCACCCCTTCTCTTACACGAAATATTCCCCAACCACCGCGTGGTTGCAGCGGGGTCATGGTGGGAGGCAGAGGAGAAGCCAAGGGGGACCCCAGCCAGGAGGCAAACCCTTCCTGACGGTCTCGTGTCGGGCACCTGCCCAAGTCCTGGTGGCCAGGGCTGCATATTTCCTTGCTCCAAGAGACCGGCCGCTGCCGGGTGCACGCAGGTTTGGCCAGAGTGATGCCGTTCAGGCACCGTGGCTGCACCCCAAAGGGTTCATATGCATCAGGACAACTTCCCAAGGGATAACAAATCTGTCCTTTATCACATTGTTTCCAGTCATTTGAGGTTTTGGATGGAAAAACTGCGTTTTTCACAGAAGTGCCACTTCTTTGGCAAAAAAATGTTTGTTGAGAAGTCAGTTTTCGGCCCAAAATATGGCATCAGGGAGAAAATGCTGAGCAGTCCAACTACCCCTACTTGAGCCATACAGCCTTGGGCCTGGGGCAGATGTATGACAGGAGCGGAGGTACCGCTGCACATGTATCCTCTCAAAGAAATGGCTTGACCAAACGGGACAGGACAAGATGGGAAGGAAATAATAAATGCAATTTGTTAATGTCTAAAAGGAGAGAGAACAAATTTAAAGCCCCAAAAGAGAAAAGGAGAGACTCATGAGCTATTGGGAGGAGGGTAATGGGCATGGGACGAGAGGAGGAAGAGCTGTGCTATCCAGGTGGTCACCTGTACAAAGTTGAAAAGGCTTTTTAAAAGCCTTTCACAGCCTCCTCTAGGCACATGTCTTAGGAGACAGCAATAATTTTGCTTAGTTTGGCACGTTCAGAGCACCTGACAAGCAGGCATCTAGAAAGGCTCTTTTGATTTTTGTCCCATAAACCATGAACACAGGCTTCACAGGAGGAAATTTCTGTGTGATGATAATCCCTGAAAAATAGCAAAAAAGGATATGCCAGAAGGGTCTGCTTCAGGGCAAGAATTAACCATTTGACCACTGGGGCTGACTGCCCCTCCGGCATCAGATCTCGGGAACTCGCATCCGAGTGGCTTGGGAAAAAGCACCACCAGTTTGATATGCTTGTTTTCCAGGTTCTGTACAATTTATTGGCACATAAATAAAGACTTTGTTGAAGTAATTTTTTTTCTTTGGGCAAACACAGTATAAAACATGGTTTTGTGTGAAAAGCCTGAAGCCAAACAGTGACGGATACCTTTTTGCTACCATCGATCATATGGAAGAGCTGTTTGGAGACTGCTGTCTCTAAATAACACCCCACATGTTTGAAAAGTGATGTATACAGCCATTCAGTCTGTCTTTGGGATGATAAAACCCTTCAGATCAATCTCCTTACAGATTTCTTCATCTGCATCTCCTGGACCTGACGATGGGAAACCTGGGACACAAATCTCTTCTGGCTCTTTTAAAACACTTCATTGCAGAGTTAGCGGTGCCATATTGATGAAACCTGACAGCAATATTTTTTATTTTTCATTTATTTATTTATTTATCCATCTATCTATTATGATCAGCACTTCTTAGATTTTGGAGTTACTGGGACATGCATGGGTTTCCTGGCTGAGCCAGGGGACTTTTCCCCCTTTATATTGCACAGATGTATAGTCCCTCCACCTCTCCCAAACCACTTAGGGCAATGTCTGCTCATGAACAATGGCATGGATGGATGCATAATTTGCTGAGTGCCCAGACTTTCCATCCCACGTAGCACAAAAAGATACAGGCACAAGTCTATATGCAGGAGGCCCTTATCTCCAGCTCCATCCTTCTCTGAGCAAGGGCAACTGACTGAGTGAGGTGGTCCTGGCCTCCCCCAGGGATGTCCCATCCCTCTGTGCTACCCTGCTAACGCAGATTCTGGTCCGTTAAGGGCTTGCTGTCCCTTCCCTCTTCCAGGCTGTCTCATAGCCTGTTGCTTCTCTCCTTGGGCCACACATAGCATCACCAGAAGCGTTTCATCATCTTCCATTGATCTACATGGGACAAGCAAGGGCCAAGCAAAGGGCCAAGCAGGGAGAAATGGATTTGGGAAATTTGGGTCCAGTAGATTTGGAAGGACCTGCTGAATGATTTTTGTCCCTCAGCTCTAATTCAGCATCCCCTGCTTTGAATAGTTGTTCTTTATTCCCAAATGACATTCCAGCTGATGTACACCACAGGGTTCCAGATGATTGAAGGCCCATCATGACCTTAGAAGAGAGGCCAGAGACAAAGCTCCCCATGCCAGTGTGGGATTGTCTTTCTCATCCTTACCAGGACAAGCTAATGAAGGTGTCTGAAGAACTTTGCTTTTCCTACATGAGACCTGTTCTGCCTAATTCACACATGCTGATTGGAGTAGGACCCCAGGCCACCCTCCTCCAAGCACGTGTGCTGATGTGGCTGCTTCACGTTCTGTAGCTTACAGGAGCTGTCTCCACATATCCTGCAGCAGAGCGGGCTGAACAGAGCTGTCTGAAAGGCTGAGCATTTTGCGCTAATTG